AAGGAGGGGGGGGGAAGAGGGAGAGGGGGAAGAAAAAGAGAGAAAAAAAGGGGGAGAGGAAGGAATGGGGAGAGGAAAAAACGACTCATCCAAAATGTTGTTTTGATCAAAAAAAAGGGTAAAAAAAGGGGGGAAAAAAAAAAAAAAAAAAAAGATAAAGAAAAAATTATAAAAAAAAAAAAAAAAAAAAAAAAAAAAAAAAAAAAAAAAAAAAAAAAAAAAAAAAAAAAAAAAAAAAAAAAAAAAAAAAAAAAAAAAAAAAAAAAAAAAAAAAAAAAAAAAACACCACGCGCCAGAACAAAGGAAAAAGATTCAAGGTCAACTCCCTACCTGATGGCTGTTCATTTCAAATTTCCGCACAACTTTGATGGCAACCTCATCATACTCGCCCGTGGTATCCTTTGCACGGTAGACGTTGCTAAAGGCACCGTCGCCCATCTTCTCCAGCAAGATATATCGCTCGAGACCGGGGTATTTGGGCATTTTTGTCCTGCTACTCCGCTCCTCTGCGACAATCTGTTCAATCTCGGCAGCTCTAGCTTGCTTGGTTTCGGGAGATTTGTGATGTTGAGACTGTGGAGACTGTGGGGGTTGTGATTGTTGCTGATGAGTGTGCGCATGACCCATTTTGCTGTCGATGGCATCAAGATTTCCGGCAGCAGGAGGATACGAGCCCTGTGGTTGACGTTGTTGTTCTGCGTGAACAGGCGAAACGTCGGTAGTGGGTTCGGCATGGGGGGTGACAAGGCGAGCCTGCTTGCCATGACGTATGAAATTTTTGAGATTCTGGATGGTACTCATGGTGGCGGATTGGAGTTGGAAGAACACCACAATGAGTTGAAAGGTAAGGGATAAGAAGGGGAGGAAGAGAGGAAAAGAGAGAGAGAGAGAGAGAGAAAATGGGAAGAGGAAGAGGAAGAGGTAAGGAGAAGATGATGACGATGATGACGATGCTGATAAAATGGTCCTTTTTCCCTCTGGTCTCTGTTTAGTGTTTACCCCGCCACAATTGGATTTTTTCGAGGAAGTGGATCAAAGGGAGACACCACCAGGAATAATATAGTGATTGAAGATAGAAGAAGACTCGGTATTTGAGAATGAAGAAGAAGAAAAAAAAAACAGAGAGAAGTAAGTTGTTAGGAGAGAAAAGGAAAGGGAAAAATATGGGCGAGGGAAAAAGGAGGAATCTGGGAAGAGGGGAAAAAGCAAAGTCGGGGCTGGCACCGCTAGGTAATAGTAGGATGGATATAAAGGTGAATATTTTAGACAGAATCACTACCTTTGTATACTCTAGTTTCTCTCTAAATATCTGGAAAGTATTTACTCTGTAGCTAGTTAGTTATCTACTCAGAGTAGAGATCATTACGTGACATAAGGCGGGGGCTTGAAGGGAAATTGACAGTACAGTAACCACTGATGAAGTCAGTGGATTCTGGGGAATTTGGGAATTGGGAATGGGAATGGGAATTGGATTCAGGATGGAATTATCGTCATCATCGTCATCATCAGTTACTTCTTAAGGCATGCATTATATCGATTGCTTCCATTCTGTGTGTCTTTGCTCTCCAGACTCAAAAGAGGCGTCGTTGTATGACGTCGAGGGATCTCCGGCCCCGATGTCATCTTCCTATCAGTAGTAGTAGTACCTCTCTGGCATCATCTATCTATTCTATTATTGCAGCTAGATGATTCTTTATCATCATAAACCATCACAAGGGAAGATTGTATTCGATTCAAAGTTATCTATCTATTATCAATCTCTTCCTGAGGCTTTCTCTCAGAGCCGTCATTTGTCCTTTCCGCAGACCAGACCTGAAGGTTAAACAGACATTGGCAAGTTCGGTTCAAGAGGCTCTCCTGGTTTCATTTACTCAGAGTTGCACCATTCTAGTAGTTGCTATCAAGCTACTACTTGGTATATACCTTCACTCTTGAGCAGTGGAGCTCTCATCGTCATTAAGCGTCATTGCCACAGGGTCTTTGTTCATATACAACAAGGTACTACCTCTCTACATAGTCTGGTACTACCCAAGAAGTGGCTTCGGGCCCGAATTGATCCCATAGATTGCGTCCGGTTTCATGGCCTCACTTGGTTTCTTTTGCCTTCGTCGTTTGCCCCAGTAGGTCTCGGTCCTTGTTTTGGACTGCAAGTCTGCAACACCACTACTATCAGCCGTTGTTTGCTCAGAATGGATAAAACCACCCAACATCATGGAAGCCAAACAATACTGTCTGCGCACCCTTTCAACATTTCAAAAGATCTTTCTGTTCTGAGAAAAAAGATGCTCACACTCGATTAGTACTATTTTGTTGCTCTGTATTGTGTGGGCCTGTGGCACAGCACAGGTTTAAGGCATCAACTTGTGGATATGGCGTAGATAGCAGACTGGACAGTGGATTTCTATTATATTATTACCAGCCCAAAGAACCTTGAATACCATCGTTATGATTGATTCACAGAATAAAGAAAAAAATTGATGAAAGGCGAAAAGTTCAAAGACGATGCACATTCAATGGCAGGCCCTGAAAGGAAGACCATTGGTCTAATACTCTCTGCTAGGTAGTAGTACTGTGGGAGTCCCCTCTTTTCCTTGCATCTTTTCAGTTTCGACAGAAACCCTCATCTTCACACCCTCGTCTTAAAAAGAATTTGCATATCCAGTTAAATACATATGGACCACCTTCATGGTCAAACCCACATTCTCATTCTAGCTCCGCTACGTGGAATGAGTCTATCTATGCTCGAGCCCGCTTCGTTGCCTTGTGTCTGCATCACTCGGGATCTTCCACGTCTCCCTCATCTCGCCTTGCCTGACACTTGCTGATTCCTGGCCGCATCAAAGTAGATGCACAGTCATCGTATCTTATTTTTATCCACCTCTTATTATTCGCTGACCCCTGATTCCTGAGCTTGTTTGCTCGGTGTGTTGGGTTTGCCAACGTTGCGTTGACGGTTACTCCCTCGCCGCTGCGTGTCTGATTCCTTGCAGGCTTGCAGCCTCTTCGTTTCGTGGCGCGTCCCATCATTTTCCTCTTCGCTTTTTCTGGGCATATTGATTTGTTCGCTTGGCGACAAAAAACAAAAGCAAATAAAGGGCAAACTACTCAGCCAGTTATCTCCTCCACCCGTCGGGACTGGACAATTCCACCGATACTGTCCATTCTCTCTCGCCTCTCCTCGCTATGTGGCCTCCGTTCATCGCGTTACCTTCCATCTCCCTCTGAATCATTCAGTGACATGTCCTTTTTAATCATCACTCACGTTGAATCTGTCGGCCCACAGTGACAATATCGGTTCCGCTCGTTGTGGCTATTTGCAGTGATTTCGAGGTTCCAAGATGCCTGGCGTTGAAACCACTGATGCCTCTGGGAATTCCCCAGAATCGGTTCTTGAACGGCCCCTCTTCAGATCCCGCAAGTCCCTGCACCGGAGGGGAGAAGTTTCCTCGGATCCTGACCTCGCGCACTCAGCCTCGTCAAACAATGGCGGCCATACTTCCGGAGCAGTCCCGATCGCAACTGCTCCGGCTCTTCCTTTGACTCCACCCAGCGCTGGCCACGAGGAAGCATCGCCAAACGACGCGTCAGGTATGCAAAAGACCGCCTCGTCTCATTCTGTCAACTATATTCATGGTGCGATGACGCCGACCAAACCGTCCCATCCTCCCACTCCGGAGACAACTCCCCCTCGCACAACTCCGTCGACATATCGACCAAGTCTCAGTCAGTTTGGGCACACGTCAGCGTCCTCTAGAGCCGAGTCCTTTCAGACAGCCCGCGAGATGATTTCGGATGGCGAAACAGTGACCCCGCGTCGTTCGACCCAGTCATTGCACCGTCAGCAAAGGCGCAGACCGTATAAGCAGAAATCATCACAGAACGAGAGTCCATATGGTTCCAGTGATGCCAGTTTCAGAGATGATACGTCTACTTCAGTCCAGTCCAACGAGACGCCGAGGCCCACCGGGATTGAATCGTATGATGGTTGCGATGAGGAACGGGCGCCTTCCTGTGACCGTCCTCCAAGCAACAGAGCAAAAATATCCCGCGACAGATCTGCCTTGGATGGGAACAATGAAGATCTCCCTCCCATCCGTGGAGGGAAGCTGCGTGACCGGGTCAAAGATGCTCGAAATAGCATGGCAAGTCCTTCTCTCGAACAGTTTCGCGAGGAGATAGGGTGGCCCCCCGCTGAAGAGGAATTCCGGCGATATTCTGATGTGTCGACATCGTCGACAATCGAAGCTATGATCATTGACGCTCCGCGACCGGCCAATCGAATACTGCGACATACGGAAAAGAGGCAGTCTCTACGCTCCGCCAGCTCGCCCTTGACCAAGTCGGAACGTACGTCGCTTGTCTCCAATCCGGACTTTCAGCACCGCCTCGTCCACAAAGCTGCTCGGATCACTGAACAAGATCGCAAGAGCATTGCTTCTGAAATCTCTGTTCCAGCCAGTTCCACATCGGGCGGTCCTCCTCGAAATATTGAGGTTGTCCCTGTGGTCGTGATTCCCGAGCGACGTTCTTCTCTTCATTCTTCTCAATCTGTCAGCAGGAATCCATCCAAGGCTGGTTCCCGGCGATCGAGTCAGCGAACTGCGTCTGCACGGAAGAGTAGACCGCCGTCTCTCGATCTGACCCGTCAGAGAAAGCGGACATTTTCCGACTCAACCGCTGCTCCAGCTCCAGCGTCAGATCTCAGAGGTCGCAACATTGGTCGGCCAGTGATTCCACCTCGCAGTTCATCGTTGTCGGCGCCCACAAGTAAAGACAGCTCACGGCGCACGTCCTTCACTGCCGGGAGCCTTCAAAATCAGGACATCCCCAAGGACCATGAGATGGACAAGGCCCCTATTGAAGAGCCCGAACCAAAAGCCGACAATCATACCTTGAGTGCCGGTCACCGGGATGCCACCGATGTTCCGAAGACGCAATCCATCTGGATTGGTGTTGAAGACATAACTCGCTTACGCCCACCTTCCATTCCCTTCACGCCAGCCTCAGTCGCATCATCATCACCAGGGTTGATTGAAATCAAGGAGGCGAGGACGGTTGCTTTCTTTCCTCACAATAACGAATCTCTCCTGCTTGTTGACCAGCCTGTGCGATCTGCCCTGGAACCCCGGGCGTCTCAGCCGGATGATTGTCAACAACTGAGGGATCCACGAACCCCCGAAAACCTTATGCCTCAGGATTCGAGTCATGTTGATTCACCGTTGAGGAACCCTCGCCCGCCACCAAAACCTCCGGTCTATAACGTCATTCCGCCGACTCCTCAAGATGAAGCCGACCAGCAGCTAAGGGCGGCGGATGATGGCACCGAGTTGAATGGGAACCATCCACGGCGATTTGGCTCACTTCGGCGCGGATGGGTGGTCCGCCCTCGATCGGATTCATTTGATCGTTTCGTCCGATCACTGTCCGTAACATCAGCGAAGAATCGCAAAGCTGGTAGAGATATTGACAGCCGGCTTCATCCATTCTGGCGCCCACGTCGGTTTTGGGACGACTCGCCTGATTCCGAAGAACCTCCTCAGAAAGCAGCTCATATGGATCCCGATCAGATCATTAGCAACTCGTTGGGAATGCCCCAGCCACGGGTTGTATTCGAGGGGCCTTCCCTCACTCGTCGCAGCCCGTTGCAGGGCACGATTCCCCGCCGCCATCCACAGAGGAGCAGTGCTCTGGTGGGCGGCGCCATGTTTAGCCCCGAAGCGCTTCGCTCCCAGACCTCTCTCCATAAGCGTCGCATGCTCTCCTTGTCATGGTGGAGGCTGCGCCTTCGACTGGGCCCGGTG